TCGAACAGCAGATATGGTTGCAGGGGCAATTTTGAACAGCAGTGGTATTGGGGCACCACATGCATTTGCCTTGAGAACAATTTGGGAGAAACAACAATTTCAGGTCGAATGGAATTGGGGGGCAGTGGGGGTGGAGTGGTTCAGCAAGTATTTTTAAAAAATTAAAATCGTAAAATTGAACCCAAACTCACTAGTTTAACAAGTTTGTTGCTGAGTTCACCAATTTCATCCGAGTTTAGAGGATTCTGAGTCTATATGCAATTTGTCTCTTTTTGGATTTGTAAGCTCGTAAACTTCTACAAGTTTATGATTTAACACGCGATTTAACAATCATGCCTAATATTGCCACATGAAAGAGGATACAAGCAATCAAACTCTAACTGGCAGTAAGACAAGCTTCTTGCTGTCTTATTATATTTTCCAGCTGGAACTTCAATCCAATTTCCACCAACTATGTTACAATCAATCATGAAGCGAAGGGCAAAAAGTACATTGCTTTCATAAGTCAAGAAGCTCTTCATTCCCAGACCATCAAGCTGAATACCCCTGTCAAGTATGCCTTCCAATTTTTGAAATATTGGCAAGAAACATTGATACATGAGTAAAGTACAGATGAGAAAGACAACACTGTCAAAACAAAAATGGAAACATACTAGTGTCAAGATGCATGAAACTAAGTGTATGACATGACCATTGACAATATAAAAAGTACAGCCAATAAGAACCAAGAATGTAGCTTAAACATTAAACAAGTAATTCTGGACTAGTTTTGATAAGTTGATTAATATATTGGGAAATAGAATTTCTACTGAAAATATCTTAGTTTACCACGACAGCTGGCAACCATTGTTGGAAGTGCAACTACAATTTTGAGAAAGGGTTGGGAATTGGATTGTTGATAGTACATAATACTCCTTCTCTGCACCATTTCAATGCGGCGAACAAATTTTCCCACATTACTGTTTCTATTGGCTTCTCTCATCCTTCCCTGAAGCATCATAGGACACAAAAGCAAGTAAATTAAAGCAGTTCATAAGTTTAAAAAATGAAGCTTGTTCCCTTTTCTAGACTAAAAACTGAAAAATAATTTTACTTTCAGGTACTAAACTAGATACCTCAAGAGTTTGATGAAAACGGGAGATATCATCTGGACCCATTCCAGGTGGGCAACAGACATAGAAATATGGCTCAAACCCATGAACATTGCAGCAAACACTGTGTCCTGACAAAAAAACAAAATATAAGTTTATAATTTATTATATAATTCCTACAAGGCACTGCATGGTTACTTGAGAGCCATAATCATGAGTACAATGGTGGGTCGTATATAATTTCACACCAACTTCTTCAAATAAACACTTGACCAGTTCTATAGAAACAGATGACTTCTGGGGATTGAGACAGGTAAGGTAATGGTAAAACATCATGAATTGCGGAAGAAGGAAACTGGGTATGCAATAATTTAAAATCCTTCCATGATGCTAGGGTTTTTTTGGTAATAAAAATTTTTAGGGAAAGTAGATGGTGCCCTAGCCCAAGGCAAGGAAAGCCTCTAGCATCAAAGAGCGCTTATAGAGAACTTAAATTTACCTCACCTAAAGAGATGAGTGGGGTTCAAACCTGTGACCTATCAAGTACACACTCTATCTAGCTCCACTTGACCAATCATAATGTTGGGTTTTATTTCAACTATAAAAAGTAGGTTAAACTATTCACCTGGTCCCTATATTGTCCAAATTTTATGCTTTAGTCCCTACATATGCATAAAATATAAGTTTCAGTCCTCATTGTTAACACTAGAGAATTTTCTGGCAATATAAAAGTGTTACAAAAACTTTGTGGCAGTTTATCACTACCAATAAAATTGTTTGGGGACTAAAACTTATTGTTCTCACATAGGTAATAAAACTTAAAATGGGGACAACTATAGGAACCAAATGAATAGTCCACCCTAAAAATATATGTTCAGCACAAGATTGGCAAAGTATTAATTGGCCCTTTTTTGAAGCACTGATCACTTCATATCTGGACTCAAAGAAACTATATGTATGGGTTGCAAAATCTTAATTTGGCAACCAAAAGGCATAAAAAACTCGAATAAGTTTGGTTTCCTTTCAGTTACAAAACCAGACTGAAATTGTATGGTTAGCTATGTACTCATATATTGCCTATAATTTACATACTTACATATTTATAGATTGTCAGATTTCTACTTATTTGTACTTGTATGAAACCTTTCACATTTATTTGTTATTTCTGTCTATTGATTATGCTTTTAATAAGACATTCAGGTTTCCCTCTGATAGAAACTGATTCAGATTCATTGAGAAAATAGGGAAATTCCCCTGATTACAGTATGATCGCAGAACTTCAAGGGTCTGCACCTCCCAATGCTCAAAGTCCCTAACTCTTGTCAATTGACAAGATACCCCAATCACTCAAACCTTTCTCCGATTTATAGGCAATATGCCTTATTTCTTATTATCCAGCCGCCCTAACAAACTAACTGAATCTAACAATTATCTAACTAAGGCTCTAAACTAATCTGTACCTATCACCTTCTTCCCTAGAACCTCATGTAACACTAAAAAGCGACAAACCAGCAATGCTTATTATCTCCAATTGTCTAAGCAACCGAATTTTGCAGCATGAAAGAAGACAGAAACAGGAGCAAACCTTCCTTAGTAACTCCAAATATTCTGATAACGGCAGCAGGTCCAGACGAGTTCGGCAGCAACTCCTTGTGACTCTCTCCGATCACGTAATCAATCTCCAGCTGCTGGAAAACTAAAGGCCACAAAGAGGAGCAGAAAACACGAAAAACACAAACCAATCAAATTCCACTAATAAGAAGGGGAAAACAAAACCCTAGCACCAGAGGAAAGGCGAAACAATTAACGGAAAATATGAACTCACCGACGCTGCGAGATTGGACGACGTAGTCGGCGTCGAGAGGAGGACGCGTCCACTTGGAGAGGCGCGTGGCGAGGGCCTGGCGCTGCTCGATGTCGCGGAGAATGAGGGACTCTTCGTCGGCGGAAAGGAGGGTTTCGTCCAGGAACACGTCTTCGTCCATGAACTCTTCTTCCTGAGTCATCGAGGGATGCTTCGCCGGCGGGGGTTGCGACGGCGGCGGCGCGCGCTTCCGGGAGCCGTTTTTCTTCATCGGAATTGGGAGAGGGAGGGAGTGGAGAGTGTGGAGTGACGAGAGAGTAATGAAATGACTGATGAGTTCCCGCCACTTCTTTTTGGGGAGTTGTTGCGCAGTGAGATTTTCCCGCTTGCGAGGCACGTGACTCTCACCTGATTACAATTTTTGGAACCAAAAAATCGGAATCATCAAATAGTCTCAGATAATTCCTTCACTGCAGATTCCTTGTTCTCTTCCATTATCCATACATGTCTACACTGATATCGCAATTAAATTCAAATTTGCAAGGACTTTGTTTTTAACCTAATTTTGAAGAAAATATTATGTTTTTATACATGTTAAATTCGGGTTTTTATACATTTAAAAAAGCTAGTAATGTTAACAAAAAAAATTACATTAGCGTGTTACCGGTCGATCAAGTAAATTACTAATTTAAGTTTAATAAATAGGTAAAACTCTTTTTTATTGGATTAACTTTTTCAAAAATATAGTGATATATCTTATTGCAATTCTATGTCCAAATCAAAATTATTAATTGAATTAAGCTTATAATTAAAATATAGGTATATATATTATATTTGTCAAATATAACCATAAATTCATATGTTGTAGTGTTTTGTAGGCTTTCTTAGAAAACTAGGTTCATGGATCAATAATATGTCACACATATTTTAATACATTATTTTTTATATATAAAAGAAAGAATGTTTATATTAGCAAATTTCAACCACTAGGGTTAGCCTAGTGATTGGATGAGGAGGGGTTGGAGTAGTTAGAAGTATGAAAAGGCTTATGTTCAATCCTCATTGCAACCATCTTTGTAATCTTTCCTATCTTTACCAAAAAAACATTAACAAATTTCTCTTTAAAATTGAAGATATCATTGTCAAATTATTTTTAAATTAAAGATATGATTTTTAAATTATAAAGTTTATAATTTTACATTAATTATTTGATATTAATTCATGTGTATTTTATATTATTTGCATTTTATTACTATTTATTACTCTCTCCTTTTTAATGTAAGAAAGGATTGAAGTCTAGACAAAATAGTTATATTTTATCAATAAAAATAAATGGTAGATTGTTTGATATAAAAATATGATAACCAACATTATAAGTGTGAGTTAAATAAGTTATATAGTCAACAATTATATTAACCCCTCTAAATATATTTGTAAATATAACTTCTCAATCCAATCTCTTATAAACTAGATTAATGACTAATTATAATGAAATATTCTCATACCTTTATTGTCAAAATGAATAATCTTAAAGTCACATTCAGCTACAAGTTTTCACACGTCCTTATTATATGCCAAAAAAAGGATAAAACTATAAAAGCAATTCATCGTATCTCAACCATAACTACATTAGTAGACCCAAGTTTTTCAAAAATCCACCATAGCAATTACCATTATCAATTTGAAATATACCAACACAAAAGGCTTCTAACATACCCATCCAAGTTAGCATTGAACCAACCAACTTGAGGAAGAGACCAAATCATGATTTTCATACTTATTAACCATTAAAAATGGATTTGTCACCATACATGGTAGTGTGTGAGGATTAAAAACCTTTTAAAAAGCACGTGGTCACTCAAGAGGCATATGGATATTGATTGTCCACCATAGTCAACTAGTGACGAGTGAAGTAGTTGTGTCTCCTCAAGCCATAACCTTTCGGGTCCATCAACGGTTGTCTATGCTAGTCTAAGTTACAACCTTATGGTACAAGCTTGGTCTCATATAAAAAGTTTAAGAAGTCAGATTTCTACTCTTTGGATTTTGATCGGTGACTTTAATGAGATAGTATCATCTTTTGAATGTAGAGCGAAATCTTTTCTATGTCTAGAGCATCACAGTTTGTGCAATTAATAGATGAATGCAACCTATTGGATTTGGGAGCCAAGGGCCTTAGGTTCACATGGTATCGTAAACAACTCAAATCCGTTTTAGCTAAACACCTTGACAAAGCTCTATGTGACACACATTGGCAAACCTTGTTTCCAAATGCCTTTGTGGAGAACCTTTTTCAGGTTTATTCTGATCATTGTCCTCTGCTTGTTAGGTTTGGCAGCTTACGTGAAACGAGAAAGGACTGCCCCTTCAAGTTCCAAGCTGCTTGGGCAACTCATAGAGGTTTCGAGAAAATTGTTAAGGATGCTTGGACAAGGAGCTTGCCAACTCTTGTGAATGGTTTGAATGCAGTTATGAAGGAGGCCATTGAGTTTAACAGGAATGTTTTTGGTAATATATTCTCGAGAAAACGGGAGGTTCAGGCTAGACTTAAGGGTGTCCAGCTTGAACTAGAAAAGTGTGAATCTGAGGTTCTCTTTAGACTTGAGAATAAACTCTAGGACGAACTCAAAGAGGTCTGCTTACAAGAGGAATTTCTTTGGTTTCAAAAATCGAGAGAGAAATGGGTACGTTTTGGGAATAGGAATACAACTTTTTTTCTTGCACAAACCATATCCCGTAGAAGGCGTAATAAAATTAGAGGTTTATTCCTCCCTAATGGAACATGGCACACAGATCCAAAAGTAATTCAACATTAAGCTATTCGATTCTATAGCAAATTTTTCTCAGAAGATCCACAAGGCCATTTCGTAGACATGCAATACGGTGCACCACCTCAACTTGGTGTAGAAGCAGTGGAGTCGCTACTGGCACCCATTACAAAAGAGGAGGTTCCAAAAACGGTAATGAGTATGAAATCGTTTAAGGCAGTGACACATCCAGAAATTTTAGATAGTAGGAGCAATATTTGTTTATATATTTGTAGTATTAAAAATTTTACATGTATCTTTTTAAAATATAAACTAGGTCAAACTAAATTATATTATAATTTAGTAGATTTAAATATAATTTTCTTTAAAAATACCTATCATAAGCATGATTTACTTATCTGTTATAAACATTTTTAAAATATTTTATTAGAACGACAATCCCAAAGACCTATTTTATAATAATTTAACACTAATAAAAACATAAAAATAAATATGTTAAATTTTATAAAAATCAAGTTTAATTATTTGTGATATAAAAATGTTTTTAATATCTAATATAAATTTTTAGATGATAATTTATTTTTAAATATATTTTGTAATAAAAATTATAAATAAAACATAAATCTTCTGATACTTCTTATTTTGATTTTTTTAAACCAACATATATAATATTATTATTTTGATTTTTTTAATCAACGTATACAATAAATAAAAAGTACAAAAGGTAAACATGCATGTTGCGAATTTTATTTTATCAAAAATTAATTTTTTAATATATTAAATTATATATGTGAACATTAATATATTATAATTAATTTTAAAAAAATGATTTGTCATCAAAAAGTATTTTTCAGCATATATGATAATTAATCTTCTTCAAAAGTTTGACAAACATTAAATAAATGAATATTTATTTTAAACTTAAATTTTATACATACAATAATTTAAACACATATGTTTATTTTATTATAATATAACTTTTATTTTTTAGAATATACTTTTATATATAAAAAAACATGTGTGCTTAAATTGGTAGTGGGCGCAAATACTACCCTATTATACATGTAGATCCGTCCATGCTTTGTATTAATTTGTGTTATCTTTTGTCTGCAGAATTTTGATTATTTTTTTTTTACAATTTTTACCTACAAATTTTGAAATAATTATTGTCTTATAACATTTGTTAATCGCTTATATAATTAATAAAAGGTCAAGTGATCATGCAGATAGTTACCTTAAATGTTTGTAGTATTATTTTTCTGTGTAAGATTTTGACACAAAAATTAAGAAATGTAATTATTTTTTTATTGCAATCTTTGTAATATACTCTATGTTAACAATTAAGCATCCTTTGACCAGAACACTCTATAATACTTTATAAATGAGGAATATTCTTTGGTAATTTATAAAAAAATAAATACTAATAGTGAAATATATTGACATATATAGTTTATATAAAATTTACAAATGAAGGGTTACATGGTAATATATTAGTAATAAATTTTTAATAATAGTTTAATATTTGTTATTTTACTTTTTTATGTTTACTCTATATTAAATGTATAATAATTTTTTTCATTTTCATTCCCATGATAAATTTATAAATTAACTAAAAATTAGATAAATAAAAATAATTAAGGTTATGTTGAAGTTAAATAGTGACATATTAAAATAAAGATTTTCCAAAACGCAACGCTTTAAACTTTAAAAAGGAAAATGGGAGTAATAGGATACTAGTGTTATGCAATTACACTGAAAGTGACACACTAGTAGCCTTTAATATATATATTATATAAGGCTAGTAGCCTTTAATAAATACTCGTACTATTGGTTTTTTTTTAATCAGATAAATTATAGACGCCCTTCTAGAAGTAGTTGGGGAAATTTGACTTTAGGTTTTTTGATGAAGTAACGAATATCGAGAAAGTAGTGATTATAGAATAGTACTACTAAATATATGATGTAATTCCTTCCTTCATCTACTTTTTAAATTTTGCTAAGTTCTAAATCATAAAAGAAAATAAATTATTTTTTTATTTTTATAATTTAATATTTAGTATTAATATTTCGTTTACAAATTCTTAAATTTGTCAAAATCAATCTTTATTTTGTTAATGACTCTAAAAACTTAATTACAATAATCATTAATGATTAAAAACTCAATTAAATATTTTTTTTAAGATAAGAAAGATTACAAAGATGGTCGCAATGAGAATTAAACCTAGATTATCGTGCTTTTAACTATCTCAACTCCTCCCCACTCAGCCACTAGGCTAACCTAATAATTATTAAAAATGTATAGTTTAAGAACATATTAAAAAAAATAATAATATTGGGGGACTCGTAGATGTATTATTCTTAAATAGAATTTATTAATAAACATTGGATAACCTTATAATATATTTATATATATATATATATATATATATATATATATATATAATATAATATAAAAATATTATGAAGTAAAAAATTATAAATTAATATAAATGATTTTAAAAATGATTAGACAAAATATTTGATTATAATTTATAAATTTTATTAAATAAATTTTTTATTATCATAAAAAATATTTTTAAAAAAATATTCTTTAAACAAGATCGGTTCAATTTTACTCTATGCACAAGTTTTTGATTGGTTTTGGACTGGTTTCGAAATACATCGATTTTTCCAATCAAATTGACTGATTCAGTTTGATTTTAACACGTATATATTTTATATTTAACAATTGTTATTCATATTTCATAATTACTCTTATTAAATATATTAAATGTGAGTATTTTAAAATTAACATATTAATATTAAATATTTCTTAAAAGATATAAAAAAAATCCTAAACATTATGTGTGTTATTTCAAGAGTAAATATTGATAAATTTTCTTCATTTAATAATTTATGTTTTTAGATCAAATTTAAACTATGTTAAATTAAAAAAATTTAGTGAAGCAATTAAGTTTATAAATTTATAAAAAAAAAATAATTTGTATATTTTTATTAATTTAAATTAATAAATAATTATAAAAATATTTTATATGTTAATTTATCTATATAATATATTATTATATGATTTTCAAAAGTATTATATACTACCGTTAACCATTTAAGTTGACCTGTACCCTTAGAACGCGTCATATAAATCATAATTTTTACATAAATTAAAGGTTATCATATCAATTGCTTTAACAGTAAAACCGGATAAGAATTGGTTTTTAAATTTAAGAACCCAATAAACAACTCTTAATTGAGAAGGTAGAAAGATTTACTTTTATGCTATTCTATGACTACATAATAATTTAATAGAAAATTATCCTTTCCCGCAAATAAAGGTACAGCAACGAGTCGCCATCGTTGAACACATGACGAGTATGCCATTTAACTTATCTGAATTTGAATGCTTCAAGATCGCAATATTTGACAAACATATAAAATTCATATTCAACATCAAAGAAAAAAAAAAGGTGATTGAAATATTACACAGATTATCCAAGCGGAAAAATCAATCTCTGAACACCAAAATTTCTAAAATAGGGGAAAGAAAAACCACATAGAAATAAATAAATAAACTGTATTTTTTTTTCACTCTTACTATCTGTAAATATATAGATAGAATTTAAAGGAAAAGTTGTTGGAAAAGTAGTCGAACAAGAAGAAGCATTTAAAGTTAATACATGATCATATATTTTAATAGAAGATTATAGTAGTGGAAATTAAAAAATCCGGTGGGTCCACATTCAACAACCTTTGTATATTGTATGAAGGAGTCGGCAACTTGACACTCGACACTAATCAGTAATCACTAAGAATATACAATACAAGCATAAGCACAGTGACAAAAGCACTAGACTAGTGCTTATAAATACAGGGTTGTGATTCTTAAAGAAGCACACAGCAACAAAGCATATTCTCAAACTAGTATACTATTATTTTCCCATTTGAATAGAGCAATCATCATGGGTGTTTTCACATTCGAGGATGAAACCACTTCCCCAGTGGCTCCTGCTAAGCTTTACAAAGCCTTTGTTACAGACGCCGATAACCTCATCCCAAAGGTTGTTAGTGCCATCCAGGGTGTCGAAATCGTTGAAGGAAACGGTGGCCCCGGAACCATCAAGAAGCTCACTGTAGTTGAGGGTTAGTCACTATATAAACATATATATTCATTTCTATTATTACTAACTTACTTAATCACATGTGGACTCCTAAACAATATTTGTTTTAACGTAATGTTAATTTAAAATATTAGAAAAGTAGTGGGTATATACATAAATTAAGGTGATCTGAATGTGTTGGACAGATGGGGAGACTAAGCATGTGTTGCACAAAATTGAATCAAGCGATGAAGCGAACTTTGCATACAGCTACAGCGTAGTTGGGGGTGTGGCGTTGCCAGAGACAGCAGAGAAGATAACGTTTTCGTCAAAATTTGTTGCTGGACCCAATGGAGGGTCTATTGCCAAGCTCACTGTGACGCACCACACCAAAGGAGATGCCAAGCCTGATGAAGAGGAACTCAAGATTGGGAAAGCCAAGGGAAATGCTTTTTTCAAGGCCGTTGAGGCTTACCTTTTGGCCAATCCTGATTACTGATTATCATCATCACAAACCACTTTGCTTATATAATACAAGACTTTTGTTCTCCTGTGTGCTTCTTTTCCTCTGTGTGCTTGTGCTTGCTTAAGTTGCCTTGGCTTCCCTTGTAACAAGGAATATGTGTTTCTCTTTTATCTCCTTTTGCCCCCACAATTCTCAAACCTACTCAATATCTCTCTATCTCACTTCTTCAATAAAGGATGCATCATATATGATTTTCTACGTTTTTCCTCTTTCTTTTTGCTCACTTCATTTTATTTTATTTTTATTGTTAACTATATAGTCTATGCTCTGAACTACCCAGATTTTTTTAGGACAGGCGGTCAGGATTGACGTATTGAATAATATTATATATTCATATTTTCATCAATTTTAATTTGACAAACCTAAAACCAATTTCGTGTACCAGAACTGGATCTTATACTTTAGTTTCATTGTGATCTGTGTAGTCGTCCTAGCTGAAAATACGAAAGAACGGAAACACTTCAAGAGGAAAAACCAGTAACATTTTTCCACAATGATGCGATGGGGTAACATTTTTCCACGGTGATGTCACGAAATTATTTTATGATATTTGTTGAAGTTATTTTTATAAAATTATTAAATAAATATATTTTATAATAATGAGATGTTGTTTATTTTGAATCTGAGTTCTCGATTTTGTTTTTAATCATCATTCAAAAAATCTCTTTATATATATGTGTATTTTATAAATTATTTTTATTTTATTTTATTAATATAAAACTTGTTTATATAAGTATATTTATAAAATAGCCATAAAATATTCTATATTTTTCTCGCGGGCTTTTTTCATGCGCAGAAGCCCACGTTCCAATTTGTCACTTTGAAAGCTCATTAAAAGAAGTGAATATACAAATATTATAATAAAAGGGAGGCCAAGCAACACCAGACTTGTCCCTTTTGAAATATCCTTAAAGATACAACAAATTAATGCATCCAAAACAATAATTAAAAGTTACTATTTTTAAATAATATAATACTTAGTAAAAAAATATATAGATCTAATTTGATTATATATATAATGTATGCATATCAATTATCATTAGCATATATTGCTATTTTATCTTTAAAAACTGAATTTTTTTAATGCATCATTAAGTTGTATTGTTTTGAATACGTTGATCATTGATTAATGGGATGAAATCTTTTGTCTCCTAAAGGTGTCTATAATTCCTGTTCCACCATTTAATGAATGCTACGTCGACTAATAGCCACGTCATTTATCATTTATTAAATTTAGATTAAAATAAAAATTAATAGAGTTACATCTTCAATTTTTCATTTTTTTTCTCTAACTTCTTTAAATATGTCTATGATCAAGATTTTCTCTTATCACTACAAGAAAATTGTCATATAGTAATACACGTCTTATAGTAAAATAATATGAGTCACTAAAAAATACTTTTACATACACAATAAATATAATATATGTTGATATATTGTTAAAAAATGTTGGTATATGCTATAGTGATATACGAAATATATTGTTAAATCACATTCAAAATCAACAGTTAAATTTTGTGTAGTTATGTGTCAAATATATATATATATATC